CGAGCATCACGTGGGCTTGAATATGTAATAGGTTTAGTAGACCAAACTGAGCTTCTCATTCACACACCGACACGTGGAAAATGCAGACTTGTGGGTTAAAAAAAAACTTTAAAAAAATAAAAAAGCCAAAAAAGGAAATAAAGAAATGCGGTAATCTTCTAATAACTTCCTCCCACCTGACAGGATTCTCATGATGGCCGTCTCCTGGCCAGGCCTGAAGGACTTGTAACCAAAGTCTCTGAGCGCTTCGTACACCTCTGGAGGGACATCTGTGGAAAATCACAGGAGAAGAAAGAATAAATAGGGACATTTGCACAGAATAAAGCTCTTAAAGACCATTCAAATACCTTGAACTTTCCCATCATCCTTTGGTGTGTAGAGCGGCTCCATAGGTGGAGGAGGGGCAGGCCGCTCATAATCGGGTCTGATGATGTTGAGCAGAATCTCCTCCCCTTGCTCAGCCTTCTCAGAAGAGTCCCCGCCCACAATAGGAGGAGCCACTGTGGCAAGAGAGCAAAACATTAGTTGCCATGATGTCATTCTAAATGTTGTTGCACATTGCCATCTGGTTTCATTGGTGTTCTGGATTGTTGCTAGTAGGGCTGCATGAAATTGTTTGTCTGCTATATGTACTGCTATGTGAAAAATCATACAAATCAAATTTTCCCAGGTAACAGTCATGGACAGTGCTGAGTTTCACACAGCGCATATATTTACGAAAATCGCAGCCTTCTTGTTTTAACTATTGCCTTAAGTCATATTGCAATAAATCATGCTAGGGTGTTTTGTGACAATTGACAACAGAAAGTGAACATGTGACCCATGCGGACCCACCAATAGGCTCTGAGCGCAGAGTTCCTGTCGCCCGGGCAACTTCCTCCAGCGTGGGCAGCTCAAACTCCTCCTCCTCTACTGGGGTTTCCTGCTGTTCTGCAGAACTCACGACAGGAGCTGCACACAAACCCAGGCACATGATGTCATTTAACATTATGACAAATTCATGAGAGCAGAGTCATGTGACCCTCGCAGCCTCGTCTCTCACCTCTTCCTTGACAGTCTCGTGCCCAGTGGCCCGTCCCGCCACACTTGTAACAGCTGTCGCCCTGACGATTGAAGCCGCCGAACCGACCCCTGCCCCTCCCAAACCCGCCGCCAAACCGCTCGCCCTTCAGCTGGAACTTCTGCATGTACATCTGCATTTATAAAGCATTGACAAAAGCACATACGTGAACTACACAATTAAAAAACATTTTATAAACAGAGAGTTTATAAACAGTTTTATAACCGTTTTATATGATTTTATAAACAGTTTCAGCATTTAATACAATTATAATATAATTTTTTAACCACTTAAATAGTTTCCTTTGGATTTACTCAATTCACATTGGTCATACTTTTGGATGGACAATCCGTATAAATACACAAAAAAACAAATATATCCCTGTTTGAGAGGTTCCTAACAACATTTTTTTAGGATTTAGGATCTATTTTAACAATTTTTTTAAAAAATTATTTGTTTTAAAAAGAGAAAGAAAGAAAAGAAAGAAAGAAAAAAAGAGAAAGAAAGAAAAAAGGAAGAAAGAAAGAAAGAAAGAGAAATTTGCCTGATAACTCAAGATGCATCAAATCTGACATCAACAATGCCACACAGCAAAACTTTAGAGCGATGATGGAGGGAAAAGACTTACCGCTTAAAATGTAATCTATTTTTTTACTTCTTAAGATTATAATGTAATATACATGTCATTCTGAATATTTTATGGTGTTTTTTATTATTTTAAAGAGCTATGGAAGATACTGTATATGCTATGACTGTAAAAATGGCAGCTCAAATTTATTTAAAAAATATCTGTATTTGTGTTTCACTGTAGAAGGAAATTCATATGGGTTTAGAACAACAAAAACATTGTATCTCAATGATGACAATTTCTATTTTTGGTTTAACTTTTCACTTAAAGAAGATCTAACGTGAGAGCAACTGACCTGTTTCCTCATTGCGGCTCCTCTCAAAGCAAATCCTTTGACATGGGACTTCTTCTTCAAATTGATTTTCACAAAGTTCCCATCTGTGTTTTTGGTAGGCCTGGATCAAGAAGAGAATGATAAATCAATAAAACATAAAAATATGTGACTATTGGCGAGCTTATGGTACCCACTTGACCCTGACGGTGTTCTTCATCGTGTACGCGGCGGCTCTGGCCTCCTCCTCATCCACCTCTCCCAGCAGATTCTCCTGAGGAACCACCCGTTTCTGGGTTTTCTTTTCCTCTGAGCTGGAAGGATCATCCTCCTCATTGACTTTTCCTTTCCTCTTCCCTCCTTTTTTGGGCTGATCCTCTCCTTTTTTAGTTCTCCTTCTCTTTTTCACTCCGCCTTCCTGCTCCTCAGATTCATCCACATCATCGTCCCTTTGTCTTTTTCGACCTTTTGTTTTTTTGCCACCTTCGGCCTGTGGTTTTTCTCCCGAGTCTTGATCTTTCTTGACCCTTGGTTTGCGTTTCTTAGTTTTTGCAGGAGATTTGGGTTCCTCTAAACACGTCTCATTGTCTTTTTGATATACCCGTTCACCACGAGGCCCCGGGGAGCCCAATTCTGCATCCAGCACTACATTGTCCCTTACTGAAGACACTACAGGGTCTTTCTGTGCTTCGCCCTTTGACAAGGCAGGTTTACTCTTCTCTAATGAAGTCTTTGGGGATGTTTGACCCAGAGTTGACATGGTTTCGCTTCTAACAGTAGGCGGTAAAAAACTATTATCGTTTTTCGTTAGCTCTGAATTCCCAGCAACAGGTTTCTGAGGTTCCTCCACCTCATCGAAGACCTGACAGCGTGCAAGCCAGCCACTGTCCACCGATGAAATCCTCTTGGTCATGGACTGCCTCAGGAACTGGAGCCTTTCCACGCTCTTGTGTGCGGATCCCACAGATGGAGACCAGGATTTGGAGGGGGTCACGACAGGGAAAGGATCCGATGGCTCGTCCTCAAACTCAGTGCTGGTCTGTACAGGAGGAGCGCTGGGGTCTGGGTGTGTGTTGGCTGACGTCGGTGTGTGAGTCTCTACACCTGTCGGTGCTGTGCTGGAGGTGGGAGTGTCCTGCAGTGGTTTGGTTGGTGTTCGCCGAGGGGTTGTAGCTTTTTTCAGAGAAAATGATCGTTCCTAGAATTTAGCAAATGTGACAAGAAAATAAGAGGACAGATATTCTGCAGCCTGTTTCTCCAAATTACATTTATAAGAATTATTTCTGTCAGATTCATTATTTGTTCAAAACAGCCATTTATTTCATATAGATTAAGTTGAGACATGCAAGAAGTACAATATAGTAAAGATGCCATTACAACATCCTAATCAGAGTAAATGTTTCTGAACAATAACAAAATAAACAATATATATATATATATATATATATATATAGCCTTTTTAATTAAAAAGAAGTATCCACTATCAATCACATTTTCAATCTAAATGTTTTAAATACAAAATATTGTCAAAATCAGTCATCAGTGGACATGTTAACCCATATAAAATAGGGCGTAATACAAATTAACAACTACTATATAATACAAAAACATCTAAAAACATTTAGTAAACTTTTTAGAAAAATTTTTTTTATTAACTTTTTAATAATTACATAATTAAATAAATTACATTATTTTAAATTATATCTTTTTTAATTATAGAAATATATTTCAGTTGATTTATCTTAATTTTATTATTTATTACTTATTCAATTTTTTGAAAGCACATGAAAACAACAGCTGTTTGGAACAAATACTGGTACTCTGAATGAAAAAATAAATAAAAATCACATTTTTAAAAATCACAAGACTATATATATATATATATATAGATATAGTTTTTAAGTAGTATTACACAGCTTATCATAAGTCATGTTCACCTTTGTTAAAGCTCCAAGATTGTTCTTCAACTTCATGCCAAAGTACTGAGCTGAAGCTTTCAGCGTCTCTTTATCATCTGAGGAGAGTTTGGGCACAGCAGCCGGCAGGTTCTTCCGGTTAAGGTGAGATCCCCAGCATCCAGATCCCTTAAAACAGAGAACATAAACATTTACTGGATCTACACATATGACAGGTTCTTATCTTCAGAAACTATAAAGACGGCTGATGATGAATGTGCAAATAAAGTAGATACTAACAGTTGTAGATGAGTGACTCTCCAGGGCTTTTGTTGGATCTTCCACCTCTGAGCTCTTTCTTTCTTTTGCAACTTTAAGAGAACGATATTCTTTATAAAGTTCTGCAAACACAAGAACATAGAAATCCAAAATTAAAACAAACAAATGAACAAAGTATGAAAGCTCAACATGAACAAAGTAACACAACAAAATAATCTTACGTCTCGTCTCTTCTGGAGCTTTATCAATGTCATCCTTCAAAAGAAAACATATGTTTGTACATTATGACATAATAAGATGTCAGTCGATTAACAATAACTATGACATATCAGTAAACTACACAGGAAAACACAAAACAACATAACATTAAAAAAACCCATAAGACTGAGCACATAGCATAACAAAATAAAACACAATAAAGGGATAACGATAGCATAACGTTAACATAACAACAATACACAATACTCCACGATACCTGATTGGGCTTTCTGTTGTTTGTTTGGAAGAAAGATTGTTCCCATTTCTTCAGGAGGATTTTTACATCATTGTATCGATCCATCTGGTCACTTTATCCGTGAAAACCAATATAAAACAAACTCCGACAACAACCGGAGTTTATTCCTTCATATCATAGAACACATCAACATGTATTTCAGGCTCGCTTTAAAAAGACCATGTCAGTTATAGAGACATATGTATCTTAAATGAAATAGAATATTTATCGTATTTATTATAAAAAAGAGAGCTTATGCTTGATTTTCACTCACTAAACTTTCAACTGAACGCGCCAAACGTCAAATCATCAGTGTTGAAAACAATAGATGACTTCCGCCTCTTCCGGTAATGTCATAATAAAAGTCCTCAACATAGTGATAACAATACATTTATTTAAATAAAATTAGAAAATCAGACATCCAGTTTTTCTTGTATATAAATATGAATGTCAAAAAGAGATATATTTTAGCTGAAAACACAGAATAATGAATATTTATATAATTATATGAACAGAGTTTCTTCAGTCTGGATACAGTTATTAAATGTCACTTTTTCCATCATAACAGGCCATATGGTAGCTTTTGCCCATGGACATCACTCGCACAATCTCATTTGAACCCTGTGGACATAAACAATGATCACTGCGTATGAGATCACATAGGCTATATGATGACAATAAAAATACTTCTACATAAATATAAAAAGATATTTGCAAAATAATAATAAAATACCTCAGTGGGAAGGATTAACTGTTCACATCTAGCACAGGTCCGTGCTAGAAACCTGTTCAAGAAAAATTATGTGAAAGATACACACACACACACACACACACACACAAATCAATATAATCCATGAATGAGTTAAGTAATGAAGAAATGTTCATGTCTTATAATTGGGGTTCATTTGGTTTGAATGGCTAAATATTTTAATAAATATATAGGAAATTTGATTTTGACATAATGTTTTGGAGATTCTTCATTATTTGATAATTAGATTATATATTCATTGTCTGTGAAGTGGCTGTGTCCATATGCCAGCATGTTCTTCACCTGTGGTAGTCTTTCACACAATATATCTTGTTTTGTGTGTCGACACTGAATGGCTGTCCCTCCAGCGTCTCGTTACAGATGACACAGCGGAAACAGTCGGGATGGAAAGACTTTCCCAAAGCCTGGAGAACCTAAAGGGGTCAGAGAGGTAATCCTAGTTCATTTTATTTAATGTTTCCAACTGCCACATGATCCATTAGATTCATTAAACACTCAAAATGGCTTTCAGACTGACCATATCTGTGATTAAATATCCACAGGATGTGCAAACCTCTGCAAAGTGCTTGACACTGGAATACTAGAAAAGAAAGAAGACTTGAAAGCACTCGTGTCCTCTAAATTGAGTGCAAGAAATACTAAATAAATAAGACTAGACCACAGACCAAATAATCTTCCTCACAGAACACCTGTCCTGAAAAGTCATAAAATGGCTTTCCTTTTAGCTTCTGGCCTAGAGAAAAGAAAACACACATGATCTTGAGTTTATTGTGTTCTCTTGTAAAAACATTGTACAGAGTCCATGACATGGTGGTGTGGAAGAATGGAGGAAAGATAATGAGTCAATGCTTTTGCGTTCTCTTGCAAATGTTTTGTGTTCCTCCAAGAATCTTTGCGTTTTCTCTTAAAAATCTTTTGTATCCTCAATCCTCTTTACTTATCATTATCATGTGCCCCTTTAGTGACTCTGTTTAGGGTCTCTGTGTACACTAGATGACATTAAAAAGTACTTTGAACTGATATGTTTTTGTGTCTGTATACTCATGTCATCTTCCTGTGTAATATTTCTCTGCATCTGAACGGTCACATGAGCTGGAGTCTCACCGCACACACAGCAGGAGAAGCAGCCGGCGTGGTACACTTGTCCCATGGCTTGGCAGGCCCGATCAGCGCTAGAAATGCCTCCTGTGCACTTCACACACTCACCTGCAGGCGGCAGACAACACACAGAAGATTCACATTAATCAACTCATCCCAAATTAAAGTTTGGCATGTAAATGTAACAAGGTTAAAATGGTTTTTCCTGTTATTATACAGTTCAGGCTGCTCTACAATTGTTTACAGTTGCTGAACTGTTTAAATAGTTAAAAATACATTAAAAAGGCTCTGTAAGGAGGTGATGGTTATACTGAACTATAAACATTAGGCATCAGTTTATTCCCATGCAAACATTTTCCAATCACTGCACAGATTAGATTCACCTTACCACAACATAAAGAGTGTGTGTCCATGTTCTGTGTGTGTCAGACTGATGTCCTGCTCCTGCAGACAGACTCTGTGTCCGGCGGGAAGCGGAGAACATACTGTGAATTCTCCAGTGTATGCGGGTGTATTTATATGTGTTATAGTGTGTGTGTGTGTGTGTGTGTGTGTGTGTAGGGAGGAGCCAATGTGAAGACCTTTGATGGATATATGATATATATATATCACTAACAGCTGTGTGTCATGGGCCTGCTGAGATATTACACAACGGATGACATCAGTCTAGTTCAGATATGAGTATCTATCTATCTATCTATTTATCTATCTATCTATCTATCTATCTATCTATCTATCTATCTATCTATCTATCTATCTATCTATCTATCTATCTATCTATCTATCTATCTATCTGCCTGTCTGAAGTGGGAATAAGTCACACATGTTCAAGTCACAAGTAAGTCTCAAGTCCCATCAAGTCTCAAGCAAGTCTAAGTCGCAGTACACAACCAAGTCAAGTCGAGTCGAGTCAGTGGTTCACTTCAAGTAAGTCAGGTCGAGTCCTGCTAGGGTTAAGTCAAGTCATAAAGAAGAAGAAGAAAAAAGGATAAAGTTACAATACCAAACAGAAAAAAAGTTAATAATGTTTTTATTTTTCCCTCAGAAGAAATGATTACCTTCTTTATACATGTAACTTTGCTTAGCCTTTATATTTTTTATGGAATATCACCGGCATACATTACGTAACTTTCCCATTAGGAAACAATATTTGACTCCTTAAAACGATTTTTAACCATTTTTTTTTTCTAACCATGCATTTACACTGCAATTACAACACCATAAATAATGTTATGAGATTCATGATTTAAATATTATAATTTAATATGAAAAAAATAGAGCTGTGCAAAAGTTAATTGCGATTAATCGCATCCAAAATAAAAGTCTGTGTTTACATAATATATTTGAGTGTGCTGTATATAATTATTTTGTATATATAAATACCTATGCATGCATGTATATATTTAAGAATTATTTGCACTTAAATTCTGTATATATATATATATATATATATATATATATATATACATAATCTATATTATATAAATATAAATATTTTATACAGGAATAACACATTTTCTTAAACATATACATGCATGTGTGTGTACTTATATATACAAAATAATTATATACAGCACACACAAATATACTATGTAAACACAGACTTTTATTTTGGATGCGATTAATCGCAATTAACTTTTGCACAGCCCTAGAAAAAAAAATAGATTCTAAAAAATAATAAACTTGATCGTATGCCTTTAAATGTGTGAATACAGGAGGAGATCTGACATCACTAGTTCAGAAAGTGAAACTCGAAACTTGATCTACAACGAAATGGACGACGCCTGAAACGATCAAACTGTTTGTGGACACATCTACTCACAGGTAAGAGATTATAAGAAATATAAGAGAGATTGTGCTGAACTGGAAGTGATCTGGTTAGATGTCACACTATACTGTAATAAGTTGAACAAAACCAGGTTTAAGCATGTCAATTACACACGTTTACTTCACTAAATTGTATCACAATTGTATTTTAAATGATTTGACTGACATTTGGCGTCAGTTTGGTGTTTTTCACACAACACATAAAACCGGAGAGAATCGGGAAACAAATTACCCGCAGACAGACAGACCTGCTAAACATGACACTTTAACATAAAACAAGAAGTCATAAAACGCAACTGTTTTTTTTTTTTTTTAGGAGATAATTAATAATTTGTTCTTTTCTAATAAGCAATCCCTAGTTTAGCTTGTTGTGATTTGTCTTGAAAAGGTTTAGGGACGAGCAATGGCAGAATCGCCATCATTATCATCAAAAGGAAAAGAGACCAGGAGACAGAGTATAACAGGTTTACCTCCAGGTAAACAGAAAATTAGAGAATTGCTGCATGACTTGTGAAATATTTCCCTTATGGAAAACATTATTTAATAGGTGACTATTGACTATTTCTGTCTCCAGACATGTCTTCCTCCAGCGGTCCACTGACTGAGGAGCTTCAGTGCTCGATATGTCTGGACGTGTTCACTGATCCAGTCACCACTCCATGTGGACACAACTTCTGCAAGACCTGTCTGAATAAGTGCTGGGACAACAGCCAGACCTGCAACTGTCCATATTGTAAAGAAACATTCAAGCACAGACCTGATCTCAAGATCAACACCACACTCCGAGACCTCGTAGATCACTATAAAAAGAAAAGTCCTGAGAAAAAAGCTGAAGTTGTGAAAAAAGCTGAAGTTGTGTGTGACGTCTGTGAGGAAAGAAAGCAGAAAGCCCTGAAGTCGTGTCTGGTGTGTCAGAGCTCTTACTGTGAAACTCACCTGGAGCCTCATCTGAGAGTGGCAGGTTTAAAGAAACACAAACTGATCAATCCTGTGAGTAATCTGGAGGACTATATATGTCAGAAACACGAGAGACCTCTGGAGCTGTTCTGTAGAGATGATCAGACGTGTGTGTGTCTGATGTGTGACGTGACAGACCACAAGAACCACAACACTGTTCCTATAGAAGAGGAGAGTGAAGAGAAGAAGGTAGAAGTTCCTGACAAACTGATCATAAATGGCTCTTATTATGAGGAATCACATGTTCTTTAATATAAATGAATCAGTTATGAAAACATATTGTGTGTGTTCTCTGTCTATAGACTCAACTGATGAAGACACAGAAAGACACACAGCAGGAGATCCAGGACAGAATCAAGAAGATTCAAGACGTCAAACACTCAGCAGAAGTCAGAAAAGTGAGTTTAAATTTGACTACAAAACGAAGGTTCAGGAGGAGCCTAAACATCCAGTGCTGTCAATCATCATCATGAGCAGATTATATAAGCAGCAGACACGACATCACATTGACAAATTCAATCCTCCTCCTGAGGAATCATTCAGTGCAAACGCTGCAGAATGAGGGATTTTGAAAACACTGAAGTATGAGAAATAATAACAGTGATCAAACTCCACTAATAATGTGTTGTTGATCAGAGAAACACAGAGAAGGAGAAAGCAGCCCGTGTGGAGCTCTTCACTGATCTCATCCGCTCCATTGAGAGATGTCAGACTGAACTGCTGGAGATGATGGAGGAGCAGCAGAAAGCAGCAGAGAAACAGGAGGAAGAGCTCATTGAAGAGCTGGAGCAGGAGATCACTGAGCTAAAGATGAGAAACACTGAGCTGGAGCAGCTCTCACACACTGAAGATCACCTCCACCTCCTACAGGTCAGTCAACATCTCTCTGATCAATGATAATGACACCAGAACACTCCCCATGCTGAAGGATTTCTCCTCTCTCTCTCCTGCTGTAGATTTACTCGTCCCTGTGCAGCTCCACAAACACCAGGAACTGGTCTGAGATCAGTGTGAAGACTGATGAGAGCGAGGAGACTCTGAGGACAGCTCTGACTAAACTGCAGGACTCTCTACAGGAGAAACTCAAGCTAACTGGTACAGCAATATCAAACACACCGTACAGATACATATTCATCATTACTGATATTAAACGATTATAAATATGAGTCTGATCAAGCTGAAAGAAGAGAAGTGTGTGATCATGTGTTTGTGTCTCATTATCATCAGTTCTTCTTGAAGAGAGCAGGTCATATTCATCTCTAATCTCAGAAAACAAGGGACTCACGTTGCCCTTCCGAGGGGGAATAAATAAATAAATAGTACAACGGATGCAGAATTTCACGTAGGCCTCGATTAAAAAAAAAAAAAATCGCAAAGCCTCATTCACTTTCATTCGGGCACTAAAAGTGAAAGTCAATAGGGAAAGGGCAAACTGTGTACATCAGTGAACACTTTTACATGAGAAACAACAGAAAGAAACATTCATTTTCTGTTGGTCTTTTCTGCTGTTTCTCTAAATGTTGTGATCATGAGTCGATAAAATCAGTTTAGCAGAAGAAAAGCTATCGATAGATTCAAACAGATTTGCAGTGCTGGGATTTTATTTTCATTTTCTTAAAGATTTTATTTTAGTGTAGTCAATTTGTCAACCACAACATTGAGATGAATAACATTAGGCATAAAAATATCTGAATTAAAAATGTCATAAAATGTTTCTTAAAAGGAGGAATATTTGGAGCTCAAACACAACAGGAGTTCAGGGATTCTCTAAATATCAGCAGAGAGACATTGATCAGATAAAACATGATCTTGTTCACAATTCTTGAAATATTTCCTTAAATCTTTAAGTTTTATAATTGCACACCTAAACATGTGAAAGATCTGCTGATGTTTTATCGTCATGTGTCTCTACAGAAGTGAAGAGGAGACAGCAGTATGCAGGTACAGTGTGTGTCTGACCTACACTAGATTACATTCAGATACTCACAGCTTCATCACTGACCGACAGTATGATCACACACTCATTACATATTACACACATCAGCACTAAAGTCTGTGATTCATATTGTCTGTTTTCTCAGTGGATGTGACTCTGGATCCTGATACAGCTCATCCTAATCTCATCCTGTCTGATGATGGAAAACAAGTGAGATATGGAGACATTACACAGAAACTCCCAGTCAAACCACAGAGATTTGATAGATATGCATGTGTCCTGGGAAAGGAGGGATTCTCCTCAGGGAGATTTTATTTTGAGGTGCAGGTGAAGGGAAAGACTGCCTGGGATTTAGGAGTGGTCAGAGAATCCGTTGACAGGAAGGGAG